CTGGCCGCTCTTCGGGCTTCGAACGATAGAACCCGGTGTCTCTGCAATATTCGTAGCCATCCGCAGTGCTGCTTCGGCCGCTTCCCTTGCCTCCCTTCTTCTCTCTTATTACTGTTGGTCGCTGTGTCTTTGCTCTACCGAAGCCAGCGCACCAACGGGCCGACAACGGGGTTTTTGATACAAGGGAGACAGAGGGCAACATGGCGACACACACTCCTAACGCGATACCCCTGTTCCGCGACTCAGACGACGAGCTCATCATTAGCAGGCCGTCCCCCAGTGGCCAACAGGACACACCAATGGCGATCGCTACTGGATGGGTTGCTGCGGACGTAGGCTTCATCGAGGAATCGCGGTTCGCGAACACGAGAGTCATCGCAAAACAGTCTGCAAAGGATGACTAGATCGCCAAGGTCACCGCGCAGCCCTTGCCGCCGATGGGAGTCGACAATGAGGAGCACTTCGAAGACTGGGTCGACGAAATGGTGGGCTTAGTCAACCGCGCGGCCCACAAGATCGACGAAGAAAGTATGATAGAGGTGCGCTTTGGGCGCAAATACCTCCCGCGAAGCGACAGCGCCTCGCAAGGGTAGACCGGGGCCCTGGCATACCGGTGGAACAGTTCATTTCGCACATAGCGCGTCTTCTCTTTCCGACGTCGACATATGCCGTGGAGGCGTATGTCCCGGCGCTGACGGTCTTGCCGAGCGACTTCGTGCAGCTCTCCGACGTGTTATTAGCTAGAATTGCCCGCTATGTGAGACTAGCGCGTAGATGGGGTCTCACGGAGGCAATAACCCGCGCAGGGCTCGACATGCGTATTAGGCGCGCCGCGTCACCCCAGTGGCGGACGTGGTATACGAATATGTCGGTCAGGGGAAAGTCACTCCTAGACGTGGTTGACAGCGTGTGCATCAACCTCGAAGCACAGACGCGTGTCTTGGCCGTTCTAAACCCGGCAGTAAACGTCCAACAATCGCCCGTAGAGCAACCATCGGAGATGGTCGAAGAAGAACAGCTAGGCGAGGTGTAAGTCGGCTCACCTGTCTGCACCACCTGCGGAGGGTACACTCACCCACGTGTGCCCCACTCGGTACTACAAGGATAGTTATGGACGTGCCATGCACTCCGTAACGAAGAGTGGGACCATATTCGTGAGAGCTGGTGGCGACGTGACCACAGGGGATAGACTCACCACCGCCAGGGAGATAATCCAAACAGAAAAGGGCCGTTGGGACAACAAGCGCAGAAAGGACGCGCACCGCAGGAAGGAGAATAGGCCCCCAGGTAACCGAACGGATGCCACCAAGAGGACCGACGGCGCAGCGGACATGGAAAGGCTCTTGGAGAGACTGGAAGCCTTAGAGGCACGGGCTAATGCCTCAACAGGGAAGGGACCGGCCGACCAGCCCCCTTTTGCGTGAGAGCCCTGGTAGAGCAGGCACCGCTAGATTTCCTAGTGGACACCGGAGCCGACATGAGCCTGTTGCAGGAAGCGGACAGGAAACGGGCAGGGATACCGCTCTCAGGAGACACGATCCCGGTCGAGACGGCTA